GGAGGACAGAGCCCTCATGAATGCAAGCAATGTTTGAAGACCTTTTTTCACTTGTCTCATCTTAGAAGACACAGAAGAACGCACACAGGAGAGAAGCCTCACGAATGTGAAGAATGTGGGACACCATTCCCACGGTTAGCTGATCTGAAGGAACACAGAAAAATTCACACAGGAGAGAGACCTTATCAAGGTGCAGACTGTGGGAAAACATTTCCACAATCAAGTCAGCTCAGTGCACATAGAAGAATTCACACAGGAGAGAGACCTTACGAATGTCAGGACTGTGGGAAAACATTTTCTGTATCATGTAAACTCACTGTACATAGAAGAGTTCACACAGGAGAGAGACCTTTCGCATGTCAGGACTGTGGAAAAACATTTTCTGTATCACGTACACTCACTGTACATAGAAGAGTTCACACAGGAGAGAGACCTTACCTATGTCAGGAATGTGGGAAAGCTTTTTTAGATTCAAGTGCCCTCACTGTACATAGAAGGATCCACACTGGAGAGAGACCTTACGCATGTCAGGACTGTGGGAAAACCTTTTCACAATCAAGTCACCTCACTAACCATAGAAGAATTCACACTAGAGAGAGACCTTACTACATATGCCAGGAATGTGGGAAAGCCTATTCAGATTCAGGTGCCCTCACTGTCCATAAAAGAGTCCACACAGGAGAGAGACCTTATGAATGCCAGGACTGTGGAAAAACTTTTGCATATTCAGGTGCCTTCACTGAACATAGAAGAGTCCACACAGGAGAGAGACCTTACGAATGTCAGGACTGTGGGAAAACATTTTCTCAATCAAATCACCTCACTAACCATAGAAGAATTCACACTAGAGAGAGACCCTACGAATGTCAGGACTGTGGGAAAGCTTTTTCACATTCGGGTACCCTCACTGTACATAGACGAGTCCACACAGGAGAGAGACCTTATGAATGTCAGGACTGTGGGAAAAAATTTTCCGATTCCGGTTCCCTCCTTGGACATAGAAGAGTCCACACAGGAGAGAGACCTTACAAATGTCACGAATGTGGGAAAACATTTGCTCGATCAGGTAATCTCACTGAGCATAGAAGAATTCACTCAAGAAAGAGACCATAGTTATTGCAGACTGAGGGTAAAAAATATAATTATTAATAATGAGACAGCCTCCCAGGAATGAAATAGAACAGAGAGTGTGAAAAACAGGGAACCAGCAGCTCTCCACTGAAGACCCCAAGCCATGCTTCCTGAGTATTTCTTGAGAGAAATAAGGAAGGTGAACAGAGTAAAATCGTGAGGAAGTATAAAAGAAAACCTCGGGATCATGGGATAGTCTTTTGCAGATAAGGCCAGGTTCTTCTCTGTTGTTTACTTTATGCTTATCTCAGGAGGGAGGCATTCAGTAAATACAAACTAAAAACAAAGTGGACTCTTAAGGCATGCCATAGGGCCACAGAGTGAATTCTGGCTTCTGTTAAGCCTCTCTCATCTCCTGATAGAACACTAGGTTTATTATTAATATTAAATTTGATTTCGGTCTTCCACTCCTATGAATGTCAGGAATGTGGGGAAACATTTTCACCATCAAATAACTTTACCACACATAGAATTGTTCACACAGGAGAGAGACCGTATAAATGTCAGAAATGTGGGAAAATATTTTGACATTCAGGGCGTCCCACTGTATGT